TTAAGTAGACATTGGCAAGAAGCAACTAAGGAATATGGTAAGTAAGAAAATTTTAAGAAAGCGCCAAGGTGCTTTAAATGATTTTGAGTCTCTTGGTGTAGATAAATTATATGTCAGGATATTGAGAGAACCTATAGATGAGATCACTAAACTGGTGTTTGTAACCTTTGGGGAATCATGGAGAATGAGAGAGATGTTGGAGGCCTACTAGAGAAGGATATATGCTCATTTTTAAAAAGGGAATGAGAGATTTCACAAGCTTTAGACAAGTAGGTTTTATCTTAATCCCAGGCAAGTTTCTACACTACGTTATTGAAAGGGATGGTTTGCATGAAAAGTCCTTAGAAGAGAACTAGTGATCACAAAGAATTTATAAAATCCTTTACCTAAGAATAGCTCAAGACAGACTAAACTCATTTTCTTTTCTGAAATGAGCTTAGTAAATAAATGTAAATGGGTGAAGTCCAGCAAAGCATTGACAAAGTCACTCGTGATAGATATCTTTGTGAAAAGGTTGGAAAAATGTAGATAACACAGTTATTGAGTGGGCAAATAATCATTCCAAAGTCTGCTAATTAATGCATCAATGTTGAAGTTATTTATATACTACTTTATCTGTTGCCCCCACTAGAACGTAAGCTCTTTGAAGGAGAGACTTTGTCCTCTATTTTGTTCACTACTTTATCCCTAGTACCTATAACAGTGCCCTGTCCATGGTAGAAAATCTTCAGGACATATTTGTTGCATGAATAAAAGAGCCCGGTGGTGGGACTGCAAGCACGTCACCAGGCTGTGTCTCAGCTCTCTCCTATTCAGTATGTTTTATCATTTATTTGGTTAAAGACATTAGCTGGCATGCTGACCAAATATGCAGATAATGCGAGCCTGACAGGGATAACTGACACACTAAGGATACTCTGTATCCAAAAAGATCCACTGGCAAGAGCAATTTAATAGTGATAAATTCAACTGGATTTCTAAAAACTGGAAATACAAGCAGAGACATCATTTAATGCCAGTATGTGTGGCAAAGAAAGACTTAGAAGTTTTCATTCATTCTTTCAACACATATTTTTTGAAAGTGCTAGGCACTGTGCTAGACCCTGGGAATATACAAGGGTGAGGAAAACACACCGTCTACCCTCATGGAGCCTAACGACTATTGGGGGAAACAGACATTAATCAAATTACTCCACGAACAAGTATTTTAAAACTGTGAAGAATAAAACAGAGTACTAAGACAGCATATAACAAGAGAACCTGACCTAGTCACGGAAAGTTTTTCAGAGGAACTGACACAAGCTGACTTCTCAAAGATAAGTGGGAATCAACTAAGGTGACAGCAGGGAAGAGTAAACAATAAGTCCAGTGAGTCAACAATGTGAAATGCCTGCTTAGATGCTGATGTGGTCTTCTTCCCTTCCTGGTGGGGGCTGGGGTCAGGATCAGGGCTGTACTGGGGGCTCAGCTAGGCACTCGGCTTGCTTGCTCTCTGGTCTGGGGGCTCTGCTGATGACTTGGCCAGAGTGTTCGCTAGGATTCAGGCCAAAAAGGCAGCCCTCTTGGTCAGGATGGTGGGGTTAGGGCTAAGGAGACAGCCCACATGGCTAGGAGACTGGAATCATACGGAGAGAATGGGAAAATAAGTGACTCTTTGAGGTTAGTGAGATCCAGGCTTCTCAATGCATGTGTGTGTGTGTGTGTGTGTGCGTGCGTGCGCATGTATATGTGTACATTTGTGTATGTATATACACATACACACACATTTATTTCCTAGTTCTTCTGTCCACTGAGAGGACCTAGAACGGCACCCCAGTAATAATGAGTACACCTCTAGGACCCAGATCTTGGGCACTACCTACCATCTTCCATTAAAAGGAGCCAGGGCTCCTTGGAGAAATGACTCATTCCAGGGATTGGGCAGGGAAAGTTCGAGATGAGCCTGGAGCATCTTATTGTGCCACAAAGTAAGGAAGTGCTCAAAGAATGATGGGGACATGTTAAAAGGGTGTGGGAGCCAGCTTTGGGCAGCAAAATAAATAATGATAATAGTGGATTATAACCAGTTGAATAAAATAGGAATCCATTAGTCTGTACTAAAATGTATTTTAAAAACATGAATAAATAAATAAGTGGGTGGGGGGAGAAAAACATCTATCTTACCAATGCCAACTAATAAATGAACAGGGAATGACGGAAATGGAAAAATCAACATTTAGCAACCATCACAGTGAAAACGGATTCAGGCAAGGATCACCAATGGATGCTAAAACTAGTGGTGAAAGTTTAATGAGGAACAGGATATTTATTCAGTCTCAACATATCTTCCATCAAGTACTTCATAATTACTTAATGATTAAGTACAAAAGATTTATCAATTAATTTTATTTTGGAGAAACCTGGCAGACACCATCTTAACCTTAAGCAGTAATAGGGCAAATTGACATTGTGTGCTTCTTGGTACGACGCACCGAGAAGAACACATCACTTTTGTGGTATGCCTGCCCCGAATGCATGAACTGAATCTAATCATTAGGAAACATCGAAATGTCACGGTCATGAAACATAAAGACTGAGGAACATTTCAGTTTGTAGGAGATGAAAAAGACATGACAACTCAATGCAACTTAGGATCCCGAAGGACTTTACTAGGACAATCAGTGAAATTTGAATGGGGTCTGTAGATTAGATGGTAGAATTGTATCATTGGTAATTTCCTAATTTCGATGGTTTTACTGTGGTCATGCAGGAGTATCCTTGTTTTTATGAAATACACACTGAGGCATTAAGGGGAAAGGGGGCAGGATGTCTGCAAATTAATCCCAACTGGTTCAGAAAGAAATGAAAAGAGAGCGAATAATAAGGCAATGCGGTAAAAATGTTAACAAATAGTGAAGCTGGGTGAAGGATGTACGGCAATTCTTTGTGCTTACTTGCAACTTTTCTTAAGCATGAAACTATTTCAAAATCAAAAGTTTAAAAATGTTAATACAAATCCACTGGGGAAAAAAGGCAACATGATCTTAACAGTCAGTACACTAATGCCAGTCTAGCCAGAATGACGTTGCTCCATTCTGTGTGGTCAGACCTCACTGGAACACAGGATTTTGCTCTTGGAAGGTGAAGTAATCAGATCACATGAGGAACAGCTAAGGGGTCTGATGATGTTTAACCTGAGGGAGGAAAAGCCTGGGACAGGGAGGGGCCTGACTCTGTCTTCAGTTCTCCAAAGGCTGTCTGAGGTAGAGGAAGCAGACTTGTAGGGAGCCGGATTTCTGTTCAGTGTGAGGAAGGGCTTTTCACCAATGAGAGAGTAAAAATAGATGGATTGAGCTATCTCGGGAGTTCCCTATCATAAGATATATCCTAATATAGACTGGGCAACTGATTCTCAAGGATGTCAAAGAGAGATTTCATGAATCAGACAAATGCTAGGCCCAATGACCACTAAGGTCCTTTCAATGAAGAGTCTATGATTCTCTGTTATCTTTGGGTATTGGGAATTTGAGCACTTCAGGAATAAAATGCACACTGTGTTGGATTGGGATGAACAGTTCCTTTTGTTCACATGGGGCATAAACCATCTTGCTCTCACATGGGCTATATCAATATAAGCCTTAGCACTATGGGAAATTCATTTGTCCCCCCAGAAATGAGCTGTTCACTGAGGAGAAAGTCAACATGCTTTTATTTTAGAAAATTTCACTCAACAACATGAAAATGGGGCCTGAGAAAACAGAAACGAAAGCTCAAGAGAAAGTTTGGCAAAAATTTAAATAGTCAGCATCTCAGGACAATAATACAACTTCTTCAGGTTGCTGTGAGCTTGCCGGCTCATCTGCCTTGCTCCAGTAGTTCTCCCTCTTCATTAAAAAGTGAGCCCTTCTTTTTATCTAATGCTTCCACAAGCTTACTATATAGAACATTCATCTGGGAAAGAGAATAGCAAATAGATTTCTTGAGAGGAAAAGGAATTGTGGGAAAGTTTTCCAGACTCATGGTGATGGCATTAAAGTCTAACCCTTACCTTCTGAGATCTGAAAGATCTCAGATTTGGGGAGCAAATACAGTCCTCTCTTGAGGAAGAAGAATCCCATATTATAAGGGAGAAGGTACTTAAAACATAAAAGATCCTTTTTTCTCATTTGGTAACAAGGATTTTTCTCCCCCAAATCTCTCTTGGTTATCTAACAGCCCAGAAGTCTGCAACTATGAATAGCTTCTGGAGAAAATGCCTTTTTAAACAGTCATTGCTTTGAGCAGAGGTCAGTCCTTCCCCACACAGCACTGGCACTGACAGTGATGCATCTTTAAGAGCTCACTCTTGGCATTCCTCCTAATTAGATTCCATTTGCTATCCCTAAGTTTCCCCCTGTTCTCCATCCTTCTTGGTTTTCACTCTAAGAAATTACTGTTTACAATCCCCTAACTCTTAAAGTTATATGGAACCACCGAGAGGAACAATGATCAAGATCCTTTCCTAGCCAAGGACGGTAGGGTTGAGTTCTTATGGAAGGCCCAGCTATAACCTCTCTGCCCCCTAAGTCATTCTGTCCACTCCTAGTCCTCTCCTTCCTCACCTGAGTTTCATAGCTTCTCTTGAGGGAGCCAAGGTGGTCAAGGAAACGCAATGCTAGGCCACACCACTTTTCAGCAGATACATACTTGCTTCTTCTGTACATAAATATTCCAGTATTCCAGGACTTGATCATCAACCAAAGAATCTCTATTTCTGAGTAGCCTTCCTGAAATCCAAAAACAATGCGTGTTTTGCAGTTATTACTATTACAGCTCATAGTAGCACTATCTGTACCTGTGCTGTGTCCCATTATTATTAAACAGGTGCTCTGCTAACACTGAGGAAGGTCCATGCTCCTGGAGAGTACGAGGAGAGCACCTTGAAGTTTTGTCAGCTGTTGAATGTTCCACAGCAAGATCTCATGAAGAGACATATACTGAAAAAGCAATGAGGCTCTCTTCAACTGAAGGAAAGAATGAGAGAGAAAGAGATTTTTGGTCTCTCTGATGCATGAGAAAAACCTGTATCCTGTTTGGGGCTTCCCTCAATGCTTTCCTCAGTCAATTACCTGCCCAATATCCACCTCTACTATTCAGAGAAGGTTGTCAAGAAGCAATTTTATTATATTTTATTTTTTTGAGACAGAGTCTCACTCTGTTGCCCAGGCTAGAGTGCCGTGGCATCAGCCCAGCTCACAGCAACCTCAAACTCCTGGGCTCAAGCGATCCTCCTGCCTCAGCCTCCGGAGTAGCTGGGACTACAGGTGCACACCACCACGCTCGGCTCATTTTTTCTATTTTTAGTAGAGATGGTGTCTCGCTCTTGCTCAGGCTGGTCTCAAACTCCTACCCTCAAGCAATTGTCTCACCTCGGCCTCTCAGAGTGCTAGGATTACAGGCGTGAGCCACTGTGCCCAGCCAAGAAACAATTTTATTGGCTCTCTTAATTTCCTTGACCAGAATCAGTCCATGTTTAGAATAGAAACTATATTAATATTTAGCACTGACAATATTTTCCTAGCTATGAACAAAGGGCACATTTCTAAGATGGTTCCTTAGCCTTATCAGTGGTCTTTAACATGATGAATCACAAGATTATAATAGCTTCTTCACAATACTTTTGTGATAGTGAAAAAGATTAGTCTAAGAGGAGCTAGTTTCTCTGTTCTTGCACAGGAGACGGAGCACAAAGAGAGCATTTATGTTACAGTCCTTCATGTACACAATAGGTGTCAGGCCCTTGAAGGAGAAAATGCAATAGATGTGGGCAGCAGCTACTTGAGAGTGTCAAGGATGTTGTCTCAGCTGTCATTCTTTCATTCATTGGGATCCATGAAAATATTACTACTCATAGAACACTGTGATAATGAGGGCGCTAAGAGGGATAAGACAAAACTTTTATCCTAAAGGATACACAATGCTTTTGGGGAGACAAGGCATCCACATATAAAGATCACTTCATAAACTATGTGATTTAGGGTAGAGTGACACAGGCCTTGGGTGCTTTAGTTCAGTAAAAGAAATGAGCACTACTGCAGCTGTCCCCAACCTTTTTGACACCAGGGACCGGTTTTGTGGAAGACAGTTTTTCCACAGATGGGGCTGGGGGGCAGCATCACTGCCTCAGCTCCACCTCAGATCATCAGGTGTTGGATTCTCATGGGGAGCACGCGACCTGGATCCCTCGTGTGTGCACCTTGCAGTGGGGTTTGTGCTCCTAAGACGGTCCGATGCCCCCGCTGATCTGACGGGGGGCGGGGCTCGGGCGAGCGGCTGTGGGTGCACATTATATATTTATTTCCTCCACACTGTTGAGTTCCTTGAGGGACAGGGAATTTTCTTGTTCATTTTTGTATCCTCAGAGTCCAGCACTGTGCTCGGCACATAATACAAGCACAACAGATATTTGCTGAATGAATGAATGAACAAAAGAATGAACAAATGAATCAACATCCAGTGAAATGCTACCTCCTCAGTGAGAATTTCCCTGACTCTCCACAATTTATTGCTCAAACCTCTCTTGTCCCTCTGGCACTTTGTTCACAGCACCATAACAGCACTTCTAACGCTGTGCTGTCTGTCCCCTCCACTAGCCAGGGAGCTTTGTGAAGGCAAAATGTCTTTCACCTTTGTGCATCCACAGCCTGGTATGGTGTCTGATACAGAATGCGAGTGTTGTGATTTTAACTGCATGAATGAAAAAAATGACTTAACAAACAAAAAAACATGATCTTAGAGTAGATGAATAGGCTCTAGATATGTAGAGATTACACGAAATGCTCAGAATACACAAATCCATAGAGACAGAAAATAGATTAGTGGCTACCAGGCGCTGGAGGAGGGAGGAATGGGGAGTGACTGCTAATGGATATAGGCTTCCTTTTTGGGGTGGATTGAAAATGTTCTGGAATTAGATAATGGTGATGGTTGCACAATCTTGTGAATATACCAAAAACCACTGGCTGTCTACTTTAAAATAGTGAGTTTTATGATACATGACTTAAATCTCAATAAAATATAAAAATATATTAATAGATACGCAGAGAAAGAGAAGGGCGTTCCATATGGGCAGAACAGAAAAAAGACTTGGTTAGTACTTGAGAGCAAGTGTGTTTCAGGGAGACTAAGAATTGTTTGGCCTAAGCAGATGATTTATGCAGAGGAGTTAATGGGAAGTAAGACTGGAAATGTAAGAGACGGGGCTTCCTAAGCCTTTCCTCAATGCTCTTCCTCAAAACACCAGTGTCATGAGAAATGTTAACAGATGGTCTATGAAAATAGAGTTCTTTAGTCAAACACATTTTGGAAATGCTGCATTCTATATCACCCTTTTGGAGCATTATGCACATTAGTTCATTGAAAGTTTAAGGAAGTTTTACAGCAAAGAAACCACGTAACTTTGCTTAATCCAGGTTATGTGAATGTTTACTAACGTCTCATGGGCTGTAGTGTTAAGGGTTTTGCATTACAGGCCACAGACTTTGGAATTTATCCTGTTGGCAATGGGAAGACATTGAAACTTTTTGAGAAGTGATCTGATGAAAGTGTAGTTTTAATAGGATTGAAATGCCAGTGGTGTTTAGAACAGACCTGAATGTGGGAAAACACAGACAGGGAGACTTGTTTAAGGGGAGTTGTATGAATTTAAGAATGAAGTGATGAAGGTCAGAACTAAAATAGTGACAACGGAAATGGAAAGATGTAAGAAATATTCTAAAGGAAGAACCAATAGAACTTGGTAACTGATTCGATGTGGGGAATGAGAGATAGATCAATTGAAAATGGCTGTAAAGTACATAGTCTGAATGGCTGAGATAATGCCAGTTTGTTTGTTTTTTTTGAGACAGCGTCTCTGTTGCTATTGCCTGGGCTACAGTGGTGTGATCATAGCTCACTGCAACCTCAAACTCCTGGGCTCAAGTGATCCTCCTGGCTCAGACTCTCAAGTAACTAGAACTACAGGTGCATGCCACCATGCCTGGCTAATAAAAACAAAAAAAAATTTTTTTTTTTTTTTAGAGGTGGGTTCTGGCTATGTTGCCCAGGCTGGTCTTGAACTCTTGGCCTCGAGTGATTCTCCTGCCTCAGCCTCCCAAAGTGCTAGGATTACAGATGTGAGTCACTGCTCTCAGCCAAATGCTGGTATTTAGCATATTAATTCACTTAAAGGACAAGCATAGAATACAGAGAGTAGCAAAGAGTAGAGAATATTGGAAATGTTCATAGTTGAGTGGTAAGAGGGAAAAGAACACAGAGGGAGTGGTGAGAAAACAAAGGACAAGGGAAAAGAGAATTTTGATAAGCAGTGGCCAATAATGAAGGTCAGGGTAAAGAGGCCATTATATTTGTCTAGAAGGTGGTAATTAGTGGCCTTGTAAAGTGTGGCTAACAGCGCAGAGAGTGAGGGAAAGAGTGGCTCAAAACGTAGACAGACAGGTTAGCAAGGCCTTGCAGGCCACATTCAGTATTTTGGTCTTTAAGAGCAATGGGAAACTACTGAAGAGGATTTTAAAAGGTCACGCATACTTGAAAATTTAGAAGATCACCCTGGGTACTGGGTGAAGAAAGGTATAGAAGGAAGGTAAGAGTAGATGTGAGGAGACCAGTTAAGAGATTCCTGCAGTAGTTGAGGCAAAAGATGATAACTTGAACTAGGTTGTGATGGTGGAAGATGGAAAAACGTAGATGATTTTAAGAGATATTTAGGAGGTAGCATTGACAGGACTTGATGATAGATTAGAAATAGGAGTGAAGGAAGTGTTGAGGATGACTCCTAGATGTCTGGCTGGGGCAACTGGAAGAATGATGGTGGCTTCCAATGAGTTAGGAAACACTAGAGTTTTATTTTAATTTGCATTAGTTGCTCTCATGCTCAGCATTGCTCATGAAAATCACTAATCCCCAATAAATAAATGCCAGGCACAGTAAGTGTGCCTGTAGTTCCAGCTACTCGGGGAGGCTGAGGCAGGCGGATTGCTTGAGCCCAGGAATTTGAGGCCAGCCTGGGCAACATAGAAAGACCCTGTCTCTAAACAAAAAACAAACTGAAAAAAAAATGCATCCATGCAGCTACTCACCCTAAAGCAACATAGACTTGCCTATGCAAAATATAAATTAATGCCAGCAAGTTGATGAATTTGCTCTGGTGGCTTCTGGGGGCTCATATTTGAAACCAGTTTTCTCTGTCCTCAACGTCTTGATACATATGGCAATCATGCATTATCTTTAACTGAATTGTAGGTATCATGGCACACAAATGCCTGTTTTGTAGCTCTTCTTAGATTCCTGAAGTAAATATTGTGTACACTAGCCTTATTAAGATATAATTCACATACCATATAGTTTACCTAAAGAATACAATTCAGTGGTTTTCAGTATATTTACAGAGTTCTGCCACCATCACATCAATTTTAGAACACTTTCATCTCTTCAAAAGGAACCCGTGCCCATTAGCTCCTCATTTCCCACCAATATCCCCCCCATTTCCTCCCAACACCTCCCCCAACCTCTGGGAAACCACTAATCTAATTTCTGTCTCTTATAGATTGGCTTCTTTTGGACATTTAAGATAAATGGAGTCAGGCAGTATGTGTGCCTTTGTGACTGGCATCTTTCATTTACCATCACGTTTTCAAGGTTCATCCATGTTGCAGCATGTGTCAGTACTTCGTTACTTCATTTTTAATGGCCAAATAATATTCCATTGCATATAAATACAACATTTTGT